TTTTAAACCCCAGTGTACCATGTGGTAACTGTTCATCTAAACAAGCCCTGATTTTGTCTGTGTACCTATTTCAGTGTTTCTCAAAGTGGGTCATGGGCTCGCTCCACTTTGTTTACCTAAAGGGTCCATAGCTCTGGAGCCTCACGGCTCCCACTGTCCTCAGTTTGCTGTTTCCAGCCAAGGGGAGACGTGGGAAGCGGCGGTCTGGACCACACCACTTCCCACAGCTCCCCTTGGTTGGAAACCGCAAACCAGAGCCAATGAGAGTCACGAGACTCCATGGCTATGAAACCTTTAGTTAAACAAGGTGGTGTAGGCCCGCTAGCAGCTTTCCCAAAGTAGGCCCACAGCCCACTTTGAGAAACGCGGGCCTATTTACACACATCTTTTCTATCCTGATATTTTATTCAATGCCCCAGCCTTCTAGAGGAATTGTGATTACTGACCTTTTCTTCCCTACTAGATACCTAGGGTATTTTCTATTATTGATCTCTTCACCAGAAGACTCTTCCTAGCTGGGCAGCTCAGCATCTTTCAGCTTTCTTCTGACAAGCTTCTGATTAACAAGCTTCTGACCCATCTTTATTTTCCTTGTCAGTAGTCTGGTTCCACTTTAATTATCTCTCCCTTCCCTACTGCCTAAAATGTGACCATCTTCTCTGTACTCACAATCTCATTTGCACAAAGAGATGCTGTAGTTCCTCCTGTATAGCACATGGAACCACAGGCATGTGAGAGAAAGATACTATACAGCCCTGGACTCAGAGCGTCCTACTAATCTAACTTTGTCTTCCAGAACTAATCGCTCACACTTCCTTGTATCATTTGTAGCAGTATATGCCCTCTGCCTCAGGCTCCTCCCCAACACTTTCTAGAAGTTTGTCTAGATGTGTCAGGAAATCTTTGTACCACTGCATGCCTACCAGTCAAATTTCCAAATGATTTTCATAGTCTCTGCATACCCTGCTAACAGTATTTGACAGGAGAATCCTTTATACTGAGAGCATGTCTCTTGCTTATTGTCATGCTCCCTGGTGTGTTGTGAGGGGTACCATTTCAGTCTCTTCTGCTATCAGAAAAGAAGTGACATCCTATTGCACTTGCAGCACTTTTCTTTGCAGCACTAATTTTGTCACTGTGGCTTCAGATTCTTTCTGCCTGAAAATAGCCTCTCTACCTAGCATGATTGCTATGTTGCCCTCCTAGCGTAGGCTTAAGTCTTCTGCACAAATATATAATCTCTGAGTCTCACTTGGGACGCACTAACTTCAAGCAAAATAGACCACTTCAAATAGAATGTGTCCTGCCACCCTAGTTAGAAGTAGGGTGGTAATGTAGGCAACCGGAGTTGCAAATGAAGCCTGGGATTTGAATTTCCCGGGCTTCATTTGCATCTCGCCAGGCGCCGCCATTTTTAAATGTCCGCTAGTGCGGACTCCGTGCCGCGCGGCTACACGCGGCACGGACTAGGTAGTTCGGAGTAGGCTTCCTATTCCGTGAAACGAGGAGACATTTAAAAATGGCGGCGCCCGGCGAGATGCAAATGAAGTCCGGGAAATTCAAATCCCAGGCTTCATTTGCAACTCCGGTTGCCTACATTACCACCCTACTTCTAACTAGGGTGGTAGTGTAGACATACCCTCAGAGCCTGTTTCAGTAAATTGAATTATCTGATACAGTGATTTTGAATAAATCATTTCTGATTTCATTCAGTCTGATGGCCATGTAAGACCATTACATTCTAGAAGGTGAGGTCAGAAGACTCCACTAGATGTGCTGTTGGGAGTTTCTCCTTACATCTGAATTCGAGGATGGTTTCTTCTCCTCTTGGCTAGAAAGTTGATTCATAAAGAAACCACAGGGCCTGAGGTTTTGAAGAGGGGACTTTGCCATGATTGTGAATTTGGTTGTGAAATCTCAATTGGAGGCATGGGGGATTTTATTAGCCAGATGGGTTGGGAATATAATGGCTTCCTATTATAGATAGCAGAGATAAAACACCAGATTGCATCCATAGTCAAACAATGAACCTCTTCCACTTTGGCTAAAAGAATAAGTTCGTTAGATGGTAGAAGCAGTAGGCTCCTGTGTGAATCTGCTGCTAGGACTGGGGGGACAGAACATATGTTCCCCCAACAGAAGAAGATTATTCTGTGTCCAAGTTACTCCTTTGTAGCCAACACCGACCATTAAAAATTATGGCTATGTTTGTCCACGTGGAATGTTCTCACTGAGCTGATAAACAAAGCTAATATTTTCTCTATGTTCACATGCCTCCTGAAGACCCCCTTCAACCATGGTGCTAACAAGAAACAACTAATAAATAATTGCAAGGTTAAGGGTAACTAGGAAAGTTTATCTAACATCTGTGTCACAATACTGTTATTATCAAACATTGCCTTATTGAGATGCAACCACCATGACAATTTTGTTTGTATGACGTGCCTATATTTTCCCCTCCACTTCATTTTTGTTTTGTCTCTTTTCAGACTTAAAACTCTTGCCACAAGAATTACACTTTTTTATGTGTGCATGTTTGTACAGCAGCTAGCACAGAGTGGGCACGATCAGAAACAAATGATAAATTATATTTGTATGGAGATGAAAATGTATATACTGAACGGTGCATTATGCATTCTGTTTTTCAAAGGCTTTGGCTTTCTTAAATCCACACCTGGTAAACAGGATGCTAGCAATGAATGAAAAACTAATGCTTAAAATGTGATGATGCTCATATGCTAAGATATGGAACTGAATCAAGTTCACCTACAGTGATAAGTTACAAACAAACCAACCAACCCTCCTTTGTCCAAAAACTATGTACATTGCCATAATCCATGTAATTTCAAATGTAAGCCAATGGGCAAGGACAAAGTCTATATCACTCAGGTTACTTTCCCCAGTAACCAAACACAAATCTTTCCTCCCTGCCCACACATGAATTAGCTAACCAGGAACCCTGCAATGGGAGGTCTAGCCTTTCAGGTATGTCATTTTTAGACCACCCTACTAGACAAAGCAACAAGAACACAAAACCAAGGTCAAACAAGGCAGCCCCTGGTAATTGGATACTAATAATGGATTTAAGGTGTAAAGTTCACTTAAACTCTTACATCAACAGACTAAACAATCCAAATGAGGCTGACAAGATCTGTGTTAGAAAAAATGTTTTAATACTAGAAGCATATATTAAACACTTATATTAATCTTGATTGACTGGCTGCAGTCAGAACTGCTTCCTAAATAATAGCAATGTATCTGGATGCGATAATAATCACAAATGATTAAAATTGTACTGTAGCTGGTTTCCTATAACATCATTCTAAATGTAATTAATTATATTCACATCATTATCATGTGCTGTACCAACAACTTTCAGAATTTCAACTTGGGTTAGAAATCACATTGTTCTCAGGAGCAGAGAAAAGATGACAAAAATGTGCAAGCATGACTGTCCTGATGTTAACAGGAAAACATGCTGAAGTAGTAAATATAAGCAGTGGGCTGATACTAATGATCCTAATAGTGCTCTGAAGGATGGTTGGGTAAAAGTAATTAGTACAACTAGTACAATGGCTGATTCTCCCTTTTCTTCTGTGTTAGCCTTTGGTTCAACGTTGTGGTCTTTGTGCATTTTTTTTTCAGGTTGGAGGTGCAAGAAACTCAAGATGACACAGGCATGGTCTTATGGAGCTGCTGGTACCATGGGAAGAAAAGGCCACTTCTCTAAGGTGAGTTCCCTTGAGCTGCATTTCTCCCACTAACCCTTTTAATAAGGACACTGATGTATAGAAAGAAGGGGTTTTGTGAGTCATTTTCAGATGAAGTAATTGCATTGCAAAGAACTTGAAAATGAGGTAAAAAGGTAGTTTACAAAGAAAACTTGGGCAATGTTTGAAGCCCACACATGAACCCTTCCTCATCTTTGTACATCTTTTGGTGCTTTTTACACCTGGGAAAACCATTTTGTATGTTTTCAATTTCATTGCTGTTTTTACCATGAGCCAGAATAATTTTATTGAGCACATGAATTTTGTTTTATAAATCATTTGGGTAGCATTTGGGGGCCTGTTAGAAATAATTGCTGATTTGTAGGTATTGATACAGAATTTAGTGTATTCATTTGGTGATGGGAAAACAGAAGGTCCTTATCTGGCCGTTATTTTTCTGATGACAGAAACATTCTGGGGTGCACAGTCCATTAGAGAAGAGGGGGATGACATCCAGTATACTGGATGACATCATGCATACTACTACTACCTGGAGGCAAGGACATCTCTAGAACTCCACTGGGCATAAAATGTCATAGCTCCACTGATATCAATGAGGATCTTCCCTCATAGGTGTCCTTCCAGTCAGTGTGATCTCTCATGCAGGAAAAAAAAAGTGACACTTTGGGGATAAATAAGCATGTTCCTCATACAGCCGCTGCCACTGCACTGGCCCTTTGAACCATTCCATATGTGTACTATTCCATCGTTTTGCACAGCATACCAGCTGGCTTAGGTATCTGCCATTAGTGAGTCCTGAATATCCTCAGCTGTAACTACTGGTTATTCAGAATCCCGGCAGAATCTTCTATGTGGATAGCTTCAAAAGGATCTACTATAAGTAAGGGAGTCTCTAGGATTCAGCAAGTGTATTCAGCCTCAAAATATGAGCATGTAGGCAGCAGTATGCTAAGGTTCAGTGAACAGTCTATCCCTGAGAGTTTAAAAAGTTATATCATAGCATTTATATTTTACTTGATTGTAGTTACTTTTGGCACATCTGTACCATCTAGTGGCTCCTACATCTACTATTAGCAAGCTGCCTGAGTTGGGAATTTCCCTCACTTCTTATTGAAGCATTGCATGACCAGACCTACATGGAAAAGGGAAGCATAAGTATTTCATTGTTTCACAGAGTATTTATTTCATATTTTGTCCAGATAGTTTTATTAACCTGCTCAAGGACAGATTGATCTGAGTCTGATGTGAATAAAAAAAAGCAACATTTACCTTTTAGGGTCAACAATCTTGTAGAGTTTCCCATTGTGAGACTGTGTCATGCTTTTGCTGCTTGATAAAATGTACACCTCACCTGTTAAAGAAATAGATTAAGTAAATTAGGGTTCTTCAGTAATATTCCATACCTTTGACTTATCTAGCTTTATTTGCAAGATAGTGAAAACCTCATTAAATAAATACCTTTCATCATTGGAAAATAAAATGTAATTGTACTGTTTGGAAACATGTATGAAAAAATTCTTACCAATTAAAACTAGAAACATGACAAATACTTTGCTTTTAACATTTCGTAGGGCTAGTTGCAGATTTCTGAATTTCAAAATTTAGAAAAAATTTCAAAATTTGAGAGACAGGGAAAGAACGGAATATTTCATCTGCCCATTCAATAGCTTTGCTATTGAAATATGGAGTTATATAAATGTAGATTTTTTTTTGTGATGTATGTGCCATATATGACAGGCTCTTTATTACAAAGATGATTAACTTCCTGTAGGCCAGGGGTGGCCAACCCTTTACAGACGAAGAGTCAAAATAGTGGTGGATACAGCGCAAAGAGCCGAGGGGAAAAAAGTTGAGCCAAAAACACAAAAAACACAGTTTGCCCTTTTAAGAGCAGAGCAGACATTGCCCTTTAAAGGTGGCCATTTTGAAGTCTGTACGGGACGCTGCAACTCCGGCTCTGTCTTTCAGAGGGGGCGGGAGAGTGTTGGCTCTTTGCAGAATCCTTACTTTCGCTTTGCCATGCTGCCCCTTTAAGAACCACGGGTGCGGGTGCCACAATTTTTTCTTTGAAGAGCCATGGGTTGGCCATCCCTGCTGTAGGCTAGTTAGACTAATATTGTACAGTTTAAAAACTTTCTAGGACAGCTGTAGAACCCCACTGGACGCATATACTAGAAAGCATCTAACATGAAGCATTTTACTTTCTCATGGTGGTGGTGTCTGCGCATTTGTTGTTCCTAAAAGCAAAGTAGTAGCATCAACTAAAGCTAGAGGCTGTGCAGACCTGCTATGTGAAGCTGTAGTAAACAACTTAGTATTGAACTGCAGCGCCGTTGGCAATCCCTGCCAATTGTCCCAATGCATTTAATAATCTTTTGATGTTGTGAGTGTGAAATCAAACTGATTCTTCCATTACACCAAATTCAGGATTTGAACTCAGGTTTCTAAAGGTGAAAGCTAGGGCCCTATCATTCTATGATCCTGAACTTCCATAGAAAATGTTTAAATGAGTATTGAGAGGCAAATATAAATGAGATATTAATTTAAGAAAATCTCTCATTGGTCCTTACACAAAATCCAGTTAGCATGAATAAGAATTTTAACAGCTGAAAAGGGAGGAATAAATGATAGATGTTTTCATTCAATTCATGATCTCTTTTTGGGGTGTATCTCATGCTTGTGGAACTTAAACTACATTTGTGTCTTTTTCTTAAGTTCATACCCTCTGTGTTCAGATGAAGACTAAAAATAGGGACCTTCACCGCTTCTGCCGCCTCATGCTCACTCTTCCTGTTGCTTCCTACATAGATGCTCAGGAGTAGGAGAGATAATACTATGGTAATCTTGGTCGAAGAATTAAAAGCAATTCTATGGCGTAGAGACAGACACAATTAAACAACTACTATAATTCTATATCAGGGGTGGAGAACCTCAGGTCTGGGGGCCAAATAAGGCCCCTGGCTTGCCTGGATTGGGCCCCCAAGGCTCAGGGCTCCCCCCAACATTGGGGAACTGGCACTGGCACCCTAGGGCCCCCCTCCAACCCCACTGTGGGTGTGGAGCAAACAAAATCTACTAGCCTGAGCCCCCACTAGGTGTGCAAGGTCAATATGGGGAGTGTTTTTCCCCTTCTCAATCAGGAGCCACGTCAGTGAAGGGTTTGGGGTTGTTTTTTGCTTCTGACTTGTGTGCGTCCTCTGACTGATTTTTGTGTGGGTCGCAAAAAAGAGGCTCTCCACCCCTGTTCTATATGGTGAAACACATAATTTTGGTGAGATTTATTTTGTAATTTAGTAATATATTTCTACTATACCCAATTCATCTTCACCGAATCCCAAAATGTGACCTGAAAAGAAGCCTCTGCATGAGCCACTGTTGCCAAGACATAGAGGTTTCTCTTGCCACTGTTTTGTCACAGGACTCTGTTGCAGCGTTAAAAAGTTTCTGTAATCAAACACACACAAGGCAAACTGTTATATAGCGTTTGGAAAGAGAACTTAAAATGTTCAGATAATAACAAGAATTTGCAGTATGTAGTTCCATGGATATTTCTATAAATTTAATCACAATATAGTAAATGTAGTTCTGCCATCCTCTCTCTCTCTCACACTCACACACACACTCACACTCACACTCACACTCACACTCACACACACACTCACACTCACACACACACACTCACAGAACTATTTCTCTTGCATGTGGGTAAGCATTTGTCTTGCTTGGTATGACAGAATTGCACCCATTCCTCCAAAAGAAAGCATTACTTTTCTCCATCACTGATGTTTCTATGTGATTCCAAAATTCAAAGCTGTATGGCTAATCAGTTAGACTCCAGTCTTGCAAATAATGGCATATGTGCTTAAATGCTTGATCCATTAAAATCAATGGCACTACTCTTGTACTTGATGTTAAGCATGGGCTTAGGTGTTTAGAGGATCAGGGTGGATTAGGAGGTCCCTGAGTATCATTTGGGGTCATGCCTCCATTTCAAACTTCTCCAGAGATCAAGTATCTCACCTCAGTTGCTATTTGTTAGACTGCCATGACTGAGAAAGCAGTCGTTCCTATTTTGTTTCCAAAGCTGGGGAGTCCTCAATGGTACTAACACACCGCAACTATTTTAATATACAAATATGCAAAATATTATTTTTGTTTAAACTGAATATTCAGGCTGTGATTTTCAGAAACATACCCATTGCGGTCTCCAAACACGTAACTTCCATAAAGTCTCTCAGACTGGCAACCTCGGTATATAAATCCACCAACCAATGGTCCACTACTGAATGGTTTGAATTCTAGAAGTGAAGGCTCAGTTTCTAAAAAGGAACTGCCATTGCATTAGGTCAAATGCAATTTCATATATTAAAAACAATCATGAAAATGCTGTATAAAGAAAAATTATTGTCATTTAAATTGCACCACTATTGAGTTCTACAAAATATATCAGTCAGAAAATTGAGCATAAAGGAAACCAGAAAACAGTATCTTAAACATAGAAGGCTATAGCCTAAGTAAACTGACAGAAGAAAACAGCCAAAGGAGTCTCATCTTAGTCTTACTGAAGTTGATGGGAGTTTTCCTATTGACTGTTATGTGACCAGAGTTTCACCCAGAGACTGGATCTGTTATACTTCAGTATTATAAATAATAAAGGGGGAGAATTAGGGATTTAAAAGTACAAGTTCTATTGACTTTCAGTAGGACTTGTACTTTTAAAAATCTTGCCGAAAGCTACCGTAATTTAGTGAATATAACCTGCAGGTTATATTTGTTTTTACAACCCCCCCCCATGGGGTATACTTGGGTGCGGGGTATACAGAATTTTTTTTACTCACCAGGTGGTGAGCTCTCCGTCACCTCTTCCTGTGGCTGCGCAGCTGTTAGCCTCGGGGTGGGGGAGCACTCACTCCTCAGTTCCCAAGCACCTGCAGGTAGGGGTGGGGGAGCACTCATCCCTCTGCCCCTTCCTGTGGGGGGCAGGAACCGGGCGGTGAGCGCTCCCCCGCCCGGAGGCTGGTGGTTCCTGCTCCCCTGCCCCTTCCTGCGGCTGCACAGGAACCTGTGGGATGAGCATTCCCCCACCCGGAGGCTGGCGGCTGCGCTGGAACCTTGTGTGGTGAGTGGCTAATCTCTCCCCTCCACCCCCCTGCACCATAAATATACCTCCAGCAAATATACCCCCAGCACAGAAAAGTCTTGTATACCCCGTGAGTTATATTCGTGTGCGGAGTATACAAGATTTTTTTTTACTCAAATAGAAAAAACTGTGGGGTATATTCGGGTGCGGGGTATATTCGGGTGCGGGTATATTCGCTAAATTATAGTACCTTCTTTTAAGGTCAGTTTCTTAATGCAAAGAGCCTTTACTGTTCAGTATCATGCATCAGTATTGCTGGCTGTAGTTTCTTATTAAGGCTGAGGCTGTTACACTGATGCTATGGTTGACAACACTCTCATGCATTTTTTCTTACAGAACTGCATTGTTAAATCTTATTACATAATCTCAACAATATTAATGTACAGACAATCCTATGTATGCTATCAAATTATATTTAAAGACTACATAGGTTAAAACCAAACTCAAATGTTATTACAATTATGTGATTTTAAATCAAAGTTACATCCAATAGATATTTTTATTTTACATGAATATGGTTGCAGTTGGACTGCCAGTTTAAGCGAATTTCCTAGATTAGATTATAAGCATAAGGGATTACATTATACATGGGGGCGGGAGGAGAAGAGAAATTATTATCTTCTTTTATTTAAGCAACTGATCACTGCACGAGCTCTGGCAAGTTCTTCTAGATGGATACAATTTCATGCCACAATATTGCTTAGTTTGATCTTCAGTAGAGATGCAGTAAAAATTCCATTGGAGCAGTGGTTTACCAAATCCGTTTCAAACCAGGTTTTTCTTTGGCTTGGCTTTCATAAAACACACACACCAAATATGTGAAATAACTAAAACTGAAATGACTGTATTACTTATGTGGACTACTGCATGAGCCAGCTCAGCTGTGCTACTTTCAAAGTACAGTACAGATTGGGGAAAAAATGGGTATACGTAAATCGGTGAAAGCACCTACATGGCTTATGTCCTATGAAATTACATTAGGCCTTAATACCATGCAGGTGACATTGCTTTGATCTTTACCCCACTTTACCATAATGAATTTAGAAGCCGTTAAATGTTTAATATAGGCAGAAGCTCTGAATTGAGGTCATCTGGCTTGTCTGAATCTAGAAGTGTCCTCAGCAAGTATCAAACTTTTAACGTTATATGTAATTCATAGAATTATTTAGAAATAATAGTACCAAGTCCATAGAAATTATGTGCAATTCTTTAAAACTAAGTTTTATACTGTGCCATGTTATGACTTGTAAAGTAATATTTTATTGCACATTTCTCAACAGCACATATTTAATGAAATTTAAAGAGTTCAATACTTTCACTATTTGGTTGTTGTAATGGTTTCCCAGTCACTGCTAGGGCACCTTCTGGCTGTTTTGGAGGTTGCAGGGCATACCCACTATATGTCCAACATATGTTCCAAAAAATGTAGCCATATAGTGAAATGACATAACGTGGGAAATTTTTTTCCTGCAGCTGACTTCCATTTGGTCTTTTTTTTGGTCAATGTAAGAGTGGGGAATGGGAGGATTTATAATCCAACAGTTCCTACAAGCATCAGCGACGTTAGTGCAGAACCGTCGTATAGCGGGGATGCTTAATAGCTCTTTCCAGATCTTATGCCCTCTTTTTCCACTCATTTGCTTGTCTTGCTGCTTCTCTCTCTCTCTGACTCAGGGTGCTCTCACTTCATGGCTTGCCCCTCCTGCCAGGTCATTATAGTTCTCCCCTTCCCAGGTATCCAAGTCCTTCCATACATATTTCATTTGGCAGTCTTCCCATCCAGTTGGGGCATGGGAGAGGGACTGGGGTGCTGAGTCTGAGAGGGAGATTGGGTGCAGAAAAGGCTCAGGGCTGGGAGTTGCATGGTGAAACAGTTTGTCGGAGCCGGCTGGTGCTTCCCTCAGCTGGCTCCCCAGAAGCAGTGACATCTCCCTCAGGCACTGTAGCTCTCATTAGCCCCAGTTCCAAGACAGTGGGAACTGTGGAGCCAGCACTCATGGCAGAGGCAGCACGCAGAGCCCCAGTCCAAGGAGCTGGCGGGAAATGTCATTACTTCCAGGGACCGCCCCAGCAGACCAGGGACACCCGGAGCAGCTTTTCTCGCCCCAGAGGACGCGGTGGCGGGACCACTGTGCGTCTGGGTGATCCCACCGCCCGCGAATTCCGGGGCGAGAAAAGCTCCATTCGTAAGTGCGGATCCGACATAAGTCGGATCCGCGTAACTCGGGGACTGCCTGTACTTAAATTCTGTATGTGAAGCGGTTACATGTGAATGAGGGAGCATACATTTTCATCACTTCCTGATTGTTCAGAAAATTTTCTTTGAGCAGTCACATATGGTAACAAACATGTCTGACAGTCCTCAATCACTTACATTTTCTTTTCTTTTATTTCCTTTATTTGCTTCTATTTTGTATCTTTCAATGGTTTCCTGTTAAATTTACAATATTCCTTTTTATTTGTTTTTTCCTATTTTCCTATGGCAATGAACCGTAACATAGCAATATTATCATCTTTATTATTCCAAAGGTAATTCCAAAGGACCTTTCAAAGGCTGTTTTTCATAATAGTTTTACACTGGATAAAACTTACCATAGTCTTTCCCCTTTACTATTTGCAAAATTCTTGCGGAAGATCTATTCTTTGCATTTGAGTCGGAGCAAAGTATTGTTAAATTAATATTTACATCTGTTGGATGACGATCCACGGCACACCTGTGCATCAAAAAGGGTTAGAGAAGTCATAAAAGAGATGGTATGACAAAGGGAAGACCTAGTTGTACTTCTTATGGACTCTTATTTCTCTACTAATAGACTGAAGAGTCAAATTTTGAAGGACTATGCTCTTTGTGGTCTGTTTATTTTTGCAGCATATATTAATCGCTGTGCTCAGATCATAGAGAAAATAAGTCTGTGTATATAAGAAAGTATTCATACTCTTATGACAAAAAACCCTCCACTACCACCACCACCACCATCAAAACCCTTATGTCTCATGATCTATTCTGTAGAATGGATAGATAGACTTTTTTCCTATTTATCATCAAGCATTGAGCTCTGCTGAATAATGTTTGAAATGATTGGTACTTTAATTCTGTAAGGCTCACAAAATCTATGCTACTTGATTCTTATTACATAGTAGTTTTGGCCCCATGGAAAGGAATCAAAAGAACAACAGCTTCTTTTAACCAAACTGAATTTCTTCTGTTTTTCAAAGTATGGCCTTAAATGTTATGGGGGCAATTCTACACTCCAGCACTACATCAGCATAGCTGCCCTGATGCAACTGCACCCCTGTAGCATATCTGGTGAAGAGGTGCTATGCCGATGATAGAATTATCTTCCATTGGCATAATTACTTCACTTTAGTGAGAAGTGGAAGCTACATCTGCGGGAGAACATCTCCTGCCAAAATAGTGCTGGTGTGGATAGTGCAAAACTTCAGTTGTTCAGAGGTAGGGCTTTTTTACACCACAAAGTGACATCAATTATTGACTTAAACTGTAGTGCGTAGACTTTCCTTTTAACGTTACCACCCCTAATTGCTGAACTACAAATTACATGGATCCCTTTGCTCTTTGTTATTGTTTGGACTGCACCAGATGTTTCTGTTTGTTTTCTAGTTGCCTTTTTTCCTTATTTAAGAAAAAAGTTTCACTATTTTAACCTCTCAACTATTCAGAACTATATTCCTCTACACTTCATTATAAGTTGGAGTGGCTACTTTAATTATCTTTTCTTTCATTAAGCTAACAGATGTCTCTGGCATGATTTTAAAAAACACTTTCGTTTCCGCCACTTCAAAACATGACACATTTCTTGAAAATTTTCTGTCCTTTTTTTCTATCAAATATATTTTTTGAACAGTGAGAAATCTGTACAAACATCTGAGGATTTTAAACAGCTTCCTGATGGCTTTATTAGCTGACTTCTGATGACTCTAGTATTATTGCTATCGAACTGCGAAAAATATTCCCTACTATATAGCATACCTTCACTCACTCCTTTATACAAAGATGTATTGAAAGATTTTTAATATAATACTAAGCATGTATCTTTGTATCTTCAGAAACACTTTACAATCATTAATATTTACATGCTTTCTCTCCCTCCATAATTACTATCTCCTTTTTCAGAGAGGGAATCCGAGGCATAGCTAATTGATTCGCCCAGTGACACAGAATAAGCATGTAACAGAGCTGTGAATAGAATGAAAAAGTTCCTGCATTTCACCTGCATATCTAGCTGACTCAGGCATGGGCAATAATTTTTGGCCGGGAGCCATTTCAGAAATTTTTGAAGTAGCCCTTGCCTGCCCCAGAAGGAGACGGCATCTCAGGTGGAAGGGGCAGGGCCAGGACACTAATGTGCTTCCTTGCCCACGGTCCCTGATTGGTCTGAGGGTGGGGGAGCACCTCCCCCCGAGAGATCCACCAGTTGCTTTGAAAAGATGGCAGTTCGCAGCACCCTTGGCGGTGGGAGGAGACTTTGTGCACTCCCCACTGTGCCGCTAGGTCAATCAAGGCCTGGGGGAAGGGGGAGCATGTGAAGTCTGCCTCCACCCTGCAAAGGAGTGCCATGCTTAGTCACCCGCCTGCTGAGCAGCAGCTGGCAGTTGACTCTAAATGCCAAGCCCCTTGCAGGGTGGGAGGAGACTCTATGCCCACCTCCCCTCCCCCGGGCCAATCAGGACTTGAGGGTAAGGGGAGCGTGAAAAGTCTTCTCCTGCCTGGCCCCCGTGTAAGCGCCATGCACTACTTGCTGGGCAGGATCAGGGTGGGAGGAGACTTCTTGCGCTCTCCTTGCCCCCCAGCTCTGATTGGCCTGGAGGGCGGTGGGAGCAGCAGGACCTCGCAGGCCAGATTAACCCATGGAGGCCCTCTTGACCACTCCTGAGCTAACTAAACCCTGCTATCTCTGATTAAACCCTTTAAAAAATAGTCAAATAATGGTAAAATACTACAGCAAATTTTCCATATTCTGAAAATAGACATATGGACAAGAATGCATTACTTCTTTTTTTTCCTTTTTAAAAATGAAATTAGTGTTCTGCGAAGAACTATACACTTTCTTTGCTCAGGACAGGTACAGCGTGAGCAACAGCAGTGCCAACTTCCTTGAACAATCTTATGAATTTGCCTCCATCTGTATCAAGAAGCCACTAACTCCAAGGGCAAGAAGATACTGTTGATCAGCTTCTATAACCCTATTTTCTTTGGGATCTCTGAGGTATGAATTAATCTCAAATGCTGCAGTTGTTTTTTCTTATTTCGCCAGGCATCTGCTATGCTTTGGATAGATACAACCATTTAAGGGATGGTATTAAAGATACACTAGCTTGTACAAGACTATAAGAAACAACTTGTAGTCAAAGCAGCTTTGATTTGAAATAGTTCTCTGAAGAACTCCTGTATCCCACTGCCATATTTTCACTTTCATAATAGAGAAATGATTGTCCTCCTTACAAAGAAAGAGTAAACTGTGCTACTCAGTTGGAAATATAGTTACAAAACTCTGGTCCCAACTTGCCCTGACGGATGTTTTGCAAAGGCCTAGTTCCAGAAGGGTGCTATTCAAGATTCGGTGACATATTCCTTCCAATTATTATTATTATTTTGGTGTGCTAAACTCTACTTCTATGGGTAGATTTCTATCCTCTGATGTCTGTTGCTCCTGTTGGTTGTATAAAACATCTGAAAGCAGAATTGGTTCTGGAATTAGCAAACCTAAAACCACCTGGCTCACAACAGTATCTACTCCTCAACAATGACAAATACAACATACTTACCTGCCTGGATTGTGGAGTCCATGTGCAAAAATTTCTGGAGGTTGATTGGTGCTGTTAAAATGTGGGTTGCTCCGTGGTACAGAATAAGGAACATTGCACAAATCAGTATCTACATCCAGACGTAATACAGAACCTGTAAAATCACTGAGAAAGTTGGAGGATAACATAATTGATTTTAAAAAGTATTTCAGCTGAAGCACCATATAGATGAAATATAGCAATGAAGCAGTAAAGGGAACCATCTATTTCACACAGCCACATGTAGACTGGAATATACTAATCATGGGAACTACCATCCCTGAACTGATCAATGGTTCAGCTGGTTCATTATCCTGTCTCTGGCAGGATTATATTTAGTGCTCCTTTATGAAACAATCTACTAATGGGGAAGTTTCTTCAAACCCTGATAATTGGTTTATGCCTTGAAACATGAGGATTTACGTCCCTTTTATGTTTCATCTTATCTAAGGTAGCTTGTGGATGTATTCATTATATAGCTATATGATGTGTGTGTTTGTGTATTTAATATGGGTTTAAATTCTGTTCTTGGATTAAAGAATGCTATCTAGTGGCAGTGAGTTCCAAAAGTTAGCTGTGGCTTTTGTAAAAATAAAATTCCTTTCATACTTTGAATAGAGTTCTGACAGGAATTGTTATAATAATAATTAATAAGAATTGTTTTGTTCGAAGGAATAGAACAAAGCAAAAACACTTTCTTATAACATTCATGATGGGGATGGGAAAAGGATAATTTTGTTTTATACTATTAAAACCTCTTTGCAAAAACATGAATTGACTAAGTATTAATTGCTTTCTGTCCTGCCCTATATATAATCTGTTTCAGTCTCCATTATTGTATATACATTTCCAAAAACATATTACATGTATTCTTCAGTCTGGCTCCCATGCACTTGTTGCAAAATCTACAGAACATCTACTTGTCTGCCAGAGGTAATGAGACCTGTGAGGGCAGTGTCTTCTCTCAGTTAATGAGGGAAGTTCTCTTCATCTGGACTCATACAATCATTATTCTAAATGACAAATCCGTGTTAGGCCAAGTGGACTTGAACACAATGAAACAGGGACAAGCAGATGGACAAAACTGCTCATGTACCCAGTTCTGATTGGCTGGTGTCCAGGAACAGAGGGAGCCTGTCTACTGCTGGTTCAGGAGTGAGTACAGGCAGTCCCCGGGTTACGTACAAGATAGGGACTGTAGGTTTGTTCTTAAGTTGAATCTGTAGGTAAGTCGGAACTGGCGTCCAGATTCAGCCGCTGCTGAAACTGACCAGCAGCGGCTGAATCAGGACGCCTGGGGCAGAGCACCTGGGGTGCTGCTGGGGTGCTCCAGTAGCGCCGCTCCTCAGTGCTACTGGACCAGCCCAGCAGCACCCCAGGTGCTCTGCCCCAGGCGTCCTGATTCAGCCGCGATAACTACACAAGACAATTGTCTTGTGTAGTTATCGCGGCTGAATCAGGACGCCTGGGGCAGAGCACCTGGGGTGCTGCTGGGGTGCTCCAGTAGCGCCGCTCCTCAGTGCTACTGGACCAGCCCAGCAGCACCCCAGGTGCTCTGCCCCAGGCGTCCTGATTCAGCCGCGATAACTACACAAGACAATTGTCTTGTGTAGTTATCGCGGCTGAATCAGGACGCCTGGGGCAGAGCACCTGGGGTGCTGCTGGGGTGCTCCAGTAGCGCCGCTCCTCAGTGCTACTGGACCAGCCCAGCAGCACCCCAGGTGCTCTGCCCCAGGCGTCCTGATTCAGCCGCGATAACTACACAAGACAATTGTCTTGTGTAGTTATCGCGGCTGAATCAGGACGCCTGGGGCAGAGCACCTGGGGTGCTGCTGGGGTGCTCCAGTAGCGCCGCTCCTCAGTGCTACTGGACCAGCCCAGCAGCACCCCAGGTGCTCTGCCCCAGGCGTCCTGATTCAGCCGCGATAACTACACAAGACAATTGTCTTGTGTAGTTATCGCGGCTGAATCAGGACGCCTGGGGCAGAGCACCTGGGGTGCTGCTGGGGTGCTCCAGTAGCGCCGCTCCTCAGTGCTACTGGACCAGCCCAGCAGCACCCCAGGTGCTCTGCCCCAGGCGTCCTGATTCAGCCGCGATAACTACACAAGACAATTGTCTTGTGTAGTTATCGCGGCTGAATCAGGACGCCTGGGGCAGAGCACCTGGGGTGCTGCTGGGGTGCTCCAGTAGCGCCGCTCCTCAGTGCTACTGGACCAGCCCAGCAGCACCCCAGGTGCTCTGCCCCAGGCGTCCTGATTCAGCCGCTGCTGAAACTGACCAGCAGCGGCTGAATCTGGACGCCAGTTCCGACTTACCTACAGATTCAACTTAAGAACAAACCTACAGTCCCTATCTTGTACGTAACCCGGGGACTGCCTGTACTGATAACAGCAGCTGCTGCTAGCTGAAAAAGCGGTCAGGTTCATAAATGCTCTCTTAAAGAGTCAGCACTTCCCCCCTCTCGTTTGTTAATTATTTTACAGTGCGAATATTTGGAATAAAAATAGTAATAAAGTAAGCACTGCACACTCTGTATGCTGTGGTAATGGACATCAACATATCTGAATATGTAAAAACAGCCAAAATACATATCAATATATTTTTCTATTAGGGTTTAACAGCGTGGTTAAAATTGCTATTATTTTTTTAAATCATTGATAGCACTAGTTCAAATTTAAACACAACTTCTGCAGACAGCTAATTAAATTCTTTGACACATGTATGAAAAAGTTTTTCAGCTTCAAAAATTTGCTGAAAATATTTGCGTAACTCATGCTCTGAAGTCAGTAATGCTTAGTAGCATGAGTAAGGTGAGCAGGCTTTGTCCCTCTGTACACAAATGTCTGCTGACACTAATTATTGTTGAATGGCAGAAGACAAGTAACTAAGAAAAAGGAATCTATTCATTGGGGGTTTTTGTACCTTAAACCATCCATCTCCTCCATATCATCTAGAGTGATCATTCCATCACCAAGGAAAATGTATAAGAAGCCATCTGGGCCAAAGAAAAGCTGTCCTCCTAGATGTTTTCTGTGTAGCTCTGCTACTTCTAGAAACACTCTTGATGTTCTCATATCAACCTGGTGTGGATTTTTCCTGTGGTACAGAGATATAAAAATAGACTCATATACTAAAAGGTCACAAGGGATCATCATGATCATCTAGTCTATCTCCAGCACCTTGCAGGCCACAGAACCTCACCCTCCCACTCCTGTAACAGATCTCTAATTTCTAGCTGAGTTACTGAAGTCCTCAAATCATGATTTAAAGCTATGGCATCCAACACATTAGCCACTAGCACCATGTGGCTATTTGGCCGGTTGAGTGTAGCTAGCTGGCTTGAACAATGTGTCTATTTGGCTGATAGAGTGAGGGTAGTTCGCTACAGCAGTAGGCACTATAGTGGCTACTGTTTCAGAACTTGTTGGACACCATGGATTTAAAGATTTCAAATTAAAGAAAATTCACCATTTACATTAATTTAAACCTGCAAATGATCCATGCCCCATGCACCAGAGGAAGGCAAACACGCCCCGCCCCTCCCCTCCCCTCCTCTCCTGGCTGGCTGCCAATCTGACCTAGGGAAATATTCCTTTCCAACCTCAAATTATGGAGGTAAGTTAGATCCTGAGCGTGTGGGGCAGACCCACCAGCCAGACACCTGGAAAAGAATTCTCTGCAGTAATTCAGATCCCTCCCCATTGAGCATCCCATCACTGGAAGTATTTACTGCTTAGCAGCCACTAACTAGCTACACGAGAGTCTTGATTTCTTATTTTTAACAATAAACTTAAATTCAGTCAAATGACAGAACTGAACAGTAAAACACTGAACAATTTCATAGAAATTGCCATGTCACAAAAGAGATTAGAGGATAATTTGGGAACATCTGTAATAAAAATGAGAATTGAAAGTGTATTAAAATCAGAATAATGCAATATTCTCACTGCTGTTCCAAAACTATTGTTTGAAATTAATCCAGAGGCACGTCCTGAAAGTATCTTAATATGCCCATTGTAAATGTTACAGCTCACTTTAAAAATAAGGAATATCAAAGATTGATGAGCAATTTTTGATTTTTAGTCTTTTAATGATACCTAGATACTGTGTATTCTACGACCCTTAGGATGTGGTCATGAGGTCCAATGGCCCACCGTTCTTGGTTGGTAGTATACGACACATATAGCTTTCCATTTTTCTTATAATTGGGATGGAATGCAAGGCTTAACAGTCCTCTTTCATCTCCTCCCTGCAGCCAAATGAAAAACACAAAGAATTGTGAAGTTAATTATGTTCTTTATTGTATTTTAGCTGAAACCCCCAAAAAAGTCTTTCTTGTGGATAATCTTTACCCAAACTCTTTTCTTTCTTCCCTCACTACTGCACAGAAAGGATTATAAAACATTTCACTCTCGGCTACTCTTTAAGAGTTTGAACAAGACAATTGTCTTGTGTAGTTATCTATGCACAAGACTCTTACCCCACTTTTATGGAGTGATTTGTGTATGTAATCTTTGGGAAACCATGAAGACAAGTTTAAGTGCCGTGAAAAATTCTTTGCTGAGTTACTAGGTTGCTTGTAGTTTGTAGAAGACAAATAAAAAGGTCTGTAATCAGCAGTCACTTCTAATCCAAGTATCCAAAATCTAAAACACAGTGCTGGCTGCCAACTCCCACTGTCTTGGCAATATGTTTAGAAAACAGTTAAATTGCTTGTGTAATATGTAAACCTTTGTTTTACCCTGGAGGCAGCTACATTAGTTGTCACAACTATGGTGGTCTGTTCATCATAGCTAGCGTACTATAGGTAATAAGCAGTCTCAGTCTCTCTGCACAGAAACCATAGTTTTACATGTGGCCCTTCAATGGAAAGGTTTTTGTTATTTTTAAAAATAAAAATAGAAAATACCCAAACAACTTTTCTTGTTATGATTACCACCAAGATTAGTAGAGTTGTAGTTATGCATCAAGTGTATATAATATACTATGACAATGCAAATACCAGAATACTTATATAGAAGGCAATTTAATCTTCTGGCTTCTAAAAATATATGTAATTTTACCATTGCTTAAATTTCATTTTACTGTATATAAATAAAAAGAGAGCATATAGAGTTGTTTTACCCTTTAGATACTATACCATCTGTAGAAGAGCACAAAAATAAATAGAATATTTTAATCAATGGTTCAAATTAAATTCATATGTGATTGTTTACATCATGGCATTTGGTAGCTTAGGACAGGATTCCTTAGACTTTCAGAGCTGGTAATTTCCTTTAAAGACTAAGAAATACTTTTTTTATCTTCTTCCCCCAAGACTTTTAACTCCATTAATTAAAAAAAAATGTCCTGTTGCACCTTAGAGAATAACAAACAAATATATATAATATCATGAGCTTTCGTGGGCAAAACCCACTTCCTCAAATGAGCAGAGTGGAAAGAAAACCCACATCTAAAGACATGGGTTTTGCTCATGAAAGCTCATGATTCTCTCTTTCTCTCCCTTTTTGTTAGTCTCTACGGTACCAGAGAACTACCCATTGTTTTTAAAGTTACAGACTAACATAGTTACCCCTCTGAAACACCATTCATACAGGCAGTCCCCGGGTTACTTACAAGATAGGGACTGTAGGTTTGTTCTTAAGTTGAATTTGTATGTAAGTCGGAACTGGTACATATTGTAGGGGAAACTCTAGCCAAACATTTCTCCAGAGCTCAGTTTTATTCTCCCACACCTCACTTCCCTCAGTCCTTTATTCTTAAGCTGAGGTCTGCTGAGAAAAGCTGCTCTGCGTCTTCCTGGTCTGCTGGGGTGAGGGAGGGCCGCTAGCTTCGCGTCTCCCTGGTCTGCTTGGGGGAAGCAGCTAGTGCGGGGTTGCCTCACCCCGTTTGTAAGTAGGGATCCAATGTAAGTCGGATCCGTGTAACCCGGGGACTGTCTGTACAAGTAATTTTTTTTCAATATGAAGTTCTGAATTAAAAGGAGAGTGAGGTCTTTTAAATACACTTGCAATTCAGTGTTATGGACGTGCCTGTCTTGGCTGTTGAGGTATGTTCAACATGAGGCCTCATTTGGAAAATGTGCAGTTTGAATTTATTTTCACCTGTGAGATTATTGTGACACTTTGGTTTTATCACAACCACTGCAGAGAAACCTGACTTAGAGAAATGAGGATGAAAATAGGATGAGACCCTTCATAGTTTGTACAATTAAAGCTGGATCTTCCCCTCCCCCCCAGAGGAAGCCAAAATAAATGCAGCTCTTTCCTAGAAAAATGTAGTCAGAAAGTAAATCTGCCAAAGAAATCTTGCAGTGGCCTAGTCAGTGCTACTGAGTTACCAGCATCATAACTAAAGGGGTTGGTAATCCACTTTTTCTCCTTTGTGGTTCATCAAAACACAATCCCGCAGCTGGGTCTGAATTTATTGTAGTTGCTAATTTAGTTTGAGAGTTTTAACCAGCTTACCTTAATAGAAACAGGAAACAAATCTGAGGGTTTTTTAAAAAACAGAGAATATAAATTTCCAACTTTTCTGATGCATGATTCCACCCTGTTGTGTGTAGACAGCCACTCTTGTTGTTCCTTTGGACAGAATAATCAGCTCATTTAGATGCCCAAAAATGGCAATTCAAACAAATTCTACCACCCAAAGTGAATTACTGAGCTTCTATGGAGTTTGCTACTTTAGGTTCACACCTTCATGAAGGAGCTGGCACAGACTTCCAGACATTTTCTTACCAGTTAGAAATTGGTGGTGTATGAAACACTGACGCTGTAAGGCACTTTGTGTGGTGTTTTACAGCCATGTTACCAGATTAGTATTCTTACTTGTCACTGCTTTTGCACTGTTCCCACAGATGGCAATACATGGCCTTGCACTGAATGTGGAAAACCTTTATTGTCTCAGATGAGCAGTCTCCTCTTTACAAATTAGTAAGTCACCTTCAATCTTAGTAAACATCTTTCTCAAATGCTGGAACCTCTGCAGTACCAGAGACATCACTTGACTCATCAAGTTGTATTGTTAAGTATTTGCTTATGTTCAGCCATGTCACTAATACAGTATTTCAAATGTAGTAATTTCTGTAGGTTCTGTATCTTTTGAAACCATATTTACTGTACAGGTCAGGATATCATTTTCTGCAATGCTATGAGCTTTACATTGTTTAGTTTGTAGTAATACCAAATAAAATTTCTGTAGGGAGCTCATGTTGACACTGTGAATCAGAGTAGTCAAGACTTGATGATTTTTTTTAAGGTTTACATTTTTCTCTGGAAAAAAAAATCCTCCGTTTTCTTTTTAGTAATAGATTTTTGGTTTCCAAACTCAACAGTAACACTTTAGGCTTCAGACTCTTGACAGCTGGTATGTTAGAAAATACTACAAATACTAAATTACTGATCAATATTTTCAACTAAATATCAATATCTCACTGTACATTTATCTTCAATATTTTGAATCTGGATTCTTGGACTAGTTTCTTAATTCATTTGCATCTACATTATATTGGAGTAACTCCATTGACTTCAACGGTGTTGATTCAGCAGTACTGAGGGTAGTTAAAAGAGCATTAAACAAGTATTTTTGTTTCAAGTCAGCGGCTATCACCTTGAGAACATGCAGAAGGAGAAGAGGTTTTGAGAAAAAATGTCAATCTATTTAATTTAGGTCAAATCAGTCAAGTTTTAAGGCTGACAGCTATAATTCTTTAACCCGTGTTATCTAATCCTTTTCCTGCCACATGCAAAATTGGACTCTATTATATATTTTCAAGTGGTTTGTCTAGTCCAGTGGTCACCAACCAGGAGATTGGGATCTACTAGTAGATCTTGGAGCCTCTGACAGGTGATCTTGACTGGTTTGTCCAAGAGGCTATTAAGTGTCGGCACTTGAGCTGCCCCTCTCCCCACTGTTATGCATCTCCTGCCCTTTGCCTTGGAGCTGTTTCCCTTTCCCACGCTGTATTCTATCTCCACAGAATGGAGGTGAGGAGCACAACAGAGTTTGGGATGTAGGGAGTTTGCTGGATGCTTTGAGAGGGGTGCAGGGCCAGGGAAGGGGTGAGCCTGCCTTAGCCCCACTGCACCACCACACAGGAGCCACTTGTGGTAAGCAGTGTCCAGCTGAAGCCTGCATCCTGAATCCCTGTCCCAGTCACGTACCCCTTCTTGCCCAAGCCCCTGCTCTAGTCCTGAGTGCTCCTAGACCCAAACTCCCTTACAGAACCTTACCCCGAACTCCCTCCTACACTGCAACTTCTGCCCCAGGCTCAGCTCAGAGCCCTTCTCACACTCCATAGCCCTTAACCCAAGACCAGAGCCTGCACCCCAACCTTCTGCCTCTGCCTGATAAAAGGGAGGAAGGATGGGGGAGGGAGGAAAGATGGAGTAAGTGGGGGCAGAGCTTTGGAGAAGGGGCACGAAGGAGGTGGGGCAAAAGGTAGATCCTGGATTGCACTTAAATTAAAAAAGTGATCTTGTGCTTAAAAAGGTTGGAGACCCCTGGTCTAATCTAATTGTAAACAATTCCAGTAATAAAGCTTAGTGAGGTAAAACAGTATTATGTATTTGTTTAACAAATGTGTAGTCTGTCCAATATCTAGACCAATAATATTTGGACAATCCAAATTTAAATTGGTAATCAGTAGTATTTTTTCACTTAAGAAAAGGGTGCGTGTATGTGAAAATATTTTTAAAATATTTTGACTCACAGGATTAAATCATTTCTGCAGTAATTTTTTAGCATATTTAAACACATTACTATACAGGCTATTCTGAGCAATCTTTTTAATTAATCTGTTTCCCATGTAATATGTTCCATTAAAAATCTGAACAGTCCTATGTTTGATTTTTGGGGGCTTTTAGTAAAGAACATTAAATATGTTTTGATAATCTGAAAGCTCTCATTAGGAAATAGTTTTTGATTTCTGCAACCCAAGTCCCACTAGCTGTGGGAGTTGTACTGCTAAATAAGGATGAGTGAAGGGTTACTTTTAAAATATGAAAAGCTGCCTTCCACAACCTTCACCATATAGAGAAAATGACGAACTTTCCAGAGAAAGGTCAGGAAAAAAAGGGCAAAAGAGAGGGAGAGAGAAAGCCAGGAATAGGTAGAAGAAAGCATTGGGAGATGCTGCATAAAGGATTAGAATATTTGGAGCCCAAACCCACTTCTATCAATAATAGAAAATAAATAACTCGACCTTTTTTCCTAATTATCTCTATATCTGCATTCAAGGGGCCTCTT